CACAGCAGCCCCACTGCCATCAGCCGCATCTAGAGACTCCCCTGCACCCGCCAGAGGCTTCGAAGATGCAATCAACTTCCCCCCCTCATCCAATTCTACAGCACTAACATGGACCTTCTGAGTCGGCCCCTTCGACATTCGCATCTCTGGGAACTTCACATGGCAGAGGCCCTCCTCATGCCCATGACGATAGCAAAAACCACAATACTTTGGAAGGCTCTCAGGGATCAATGGTTGCCAGAATCCATCTCTATCCCCCATGTCTACCCAAACTCTAGAGGGAAGCGACTTCAGCAGATCCACCTCCACACACACCCGCGCCACATTCGGACGGATAAAAGACGATGTTGCCGCATCAACAAACAACGGGTTCCCCAGGCAGGAGACAATGTGAAACAAACAAGGCTTGGCAAACAAATGGATAGGAAGCTTGGGTAATCTGAACCAAACAGGAACTAGGGACGATTCCCTATCAACATGAAACTTCGAACTCCACTTGAAAACCCGCATAGGACACCCATGAACATACCACACATTTCTTGCCCATACACGAAGAAAATCTGCCTCTCCATTAAATCGCAGCAAAACATGTCTAGCGTCTAATAAACCAACAGACACTGAGTCCTTTAGATCAAGCGTAGAGAAAAACTTACGCAATTCAGGCAAAAGGGGACGGCCCCTGGAAAACTTCCCAACCAACGTGAAACGGAACGGCGACGCCATAGCAGCAATATCTGCCGCATTGAAGACCACCGCAGGCTCTCCACGATGGGTAGAGACAGCCGCCTGGACCTTCACCACCTCCGATGGCGACCGATCTTGGAACAAAGCAGAAAACGCCTTCTTCTTAAACGTTGGGGAAGAAGACAGACCCCCACCCTGAGATGAGGGGGCAGCCGCGGCTGCCATGCACGAGGAACCAGAGAACCCTAAATTTCTAAAACAGGAAACCCGAGAGAGAAAATTCTTTTTTTAGTAACCGCCCCTCGTTAAGATGGATAATTAAGTCCCAAGACATTAAATTATAAACGTATAAGGATTTAACTCCAACAAAAATAAAACATTAGTATTCAACATCCTTCTAATTAAACACAAACACTTCAATAGTACTCGTTAAAACATCAAGCACCAAAAACACATTGCACTTAACACACAATTAAATCCCACAGTCCGATATCCTAAACAATTGGCCAAAGATACACTACAAAAATCTTAAAACCTAAACTCTGAAACCAACTGTGATGCCCCCACTTCTCCCAAGGGTGAACCTAAGGGTATCGGCAGGACGCCTGCCTAACTCTTGCTAGGACTCACTACAAGACGAACTCAAACTTATGGATAACAATCAACAATAATAGTCAAAATGACAAAGAAAAGGTCGCTTCCTTAATAAGTATTCAATTCCTACATTACAAGATACCAAGTACATCACTTTCCCCAAATACACAACTTTCAAAAGTCATCTAATCAATTACATTCAAAACCCTAATCAAAAGTGTATCAAGTCGAATTCTCCATAATTCTTTCTATTTCGGCTCCTGTTAAGGAAAACAAATATAATGAGACGGGCTAATGCTCAGTGAAGCCAAGAAAAACAGGCAAAACACATAGTTCAAATAACGATAGCACTTATATGAGAATTATAGCTATAACATTTAAGTAGTTCACAACTAACAATAAAACATACTTGATAAGGATACGGAATCTCTCAAGAGTTATATTCCACTTGCTCTGCCAATGCTCGATCCAATATTTCCACGAGCTAATAACTCCGTCAACCGGGTAGATTATAGGTCCGTAGAATCCCATTTACTTTGCACTTCCGATCACTGTCACACCCCCTGCTTCGGGCCTGCACTTCTATTATATAAGGCAATACTACTCGAGTATGCCAAATGAGATATCTCAAATAGATCAAATTTATACAATTTTTTTCTCATGGCTCACTAAAATTCATGACCAAGACCATGCCGGCTCGAATCGTAAAATCGGCCGATGAGTTTGGGCGTCCCCCACTATTATCAATATAAGTCGATGAGATTCACTCCAATCGACATTGATTCAAACATAGTATGATTCACTATTGCAACACTTCACTTTATTCACTTAGCAAATTCACTTCATATAATTCAATATATAATTGATTTAAAAGAGAACGTGTGCGGTAAAGTACATACTCGACTCCGCACTTTCACAATACTCAATTAATGAGAACATTTAAGCATGTAGCAACACTCCATACACTTGACACTCACCAAGTCAAAAAGTGAGTAAGTGAGCAAATAAGTCTTTTGTGGTCGCTTCGAGATTCTCTTCAAGATCCTCTTGAGCGCCTGAAAAAATGACAATTATCTATCACTCACAAATACTTACAAATCCCTTGCCAAACAAGAAAGAATGCATACGTGCGCAATACTAAGATAATGTTGTAAAAGAACTTTAATATCTCAAAAATCGAGATTCAAAAGTGAGGATTTAAATTCACAAGAGAAACTTGCATCCTCCATGAAGATGAGTTTAAAACGGATGATCGATATCAAAAGACAACGAAAAGTTCTCAAAAGCTCATTTTCCAAGAAATCATGAATTTTCAGTTTTATGTGATAAACTTGGTAAAATCAGATCTTGAGTTCGGTACATCCAAATGTGGAAAAACTTTATTCCGTTGGAAACTAGATCCAAAGTACTTAAAGTTCCTAGAAGATACTTTTCCAAAATTCTAAACGAAAAGCACTCATTTTTCAACTCAAAGTTTCAGCTCCAAGAGGACAAGTTTGAACCAGTCTTGGTTTTTCAGCCATTTTTGGAAATTCGCCAAAATTCATAGAAAATGAATCAGTCTTTGAAATTCATAACACAATAAGAGTTTCAAATAAGATTTCAAATCCAACAAACAGAAATAAATTCGGAGTTTCGATCATCAAGATATAATAGCCTAAAATCGGTTAATTTTCACTACTCGAACAGTGAATTTCCAAATTTGAAGAGCAATGTTTGAGGCATCATTTGGATATTGAAATGGTATTGAATTTATACTAAATTTGTTACACTTAAACTTCCATATGTGGACTTCCTCCCTATCAAATTATAGGCAAAAACTCAAACGAGAAGACAGTTAACAAAACAACTAAAGTTTATGAAATTGTCAAAGCAAATCTGCCAACTCACTCTTTCTTTCTTTCCAAAGGTTTTTGTCCAATGAAATCAATCCCAAATCACTCCATTTTTGAAACCAAGGTTCCAGAAACATTTTATAAGCAATTGACACAAAAATTTTCGAGCAAAACATCCCAAAACCAGTTTCATGCTTTGTTGCACTTTTGAAATCAGACCACATCTCACTCAATACAAACTCAAATTGGGAATGGTTCATGGCGTTGGAAACTAGGTTCAAAAGCAACATTTCATCAGAAAGGTTCATTTCAAAATCAGTTCACCAGTAATAGAAAATTAAGCCAGAATATAAAGCTTCTCTATTCCTCTCGGACAGAGAGTCACAATAGGACAGCCAATTTGTTAAATCACTACAGTTCACTCAGTTCGAACTAGTAGGTGATTTTTATACCGTTAGAAAGCTATAAATGTCTAGTTTTAAATGCCGCAAATGGTACTCTATTTTAACTTTTATACAACAAGTTATGATCGAACAAAGAGCTACTGTCCGGACCTCCTGATCATAAATTCCAGATTTCTTCCATTTTCGAAAACTATAGTTTTGTGCAACCAAATGAACTAATTTTCGCAAGGCACTTTGTACAACAAATATACAACATATATCCATCCATTTCATAGTCAAATAACCGACAAAAATTCAAAATGCAAGCATGATAACCACAGGACAGTTTCGGCCAGCTCACATCTCACACCTCTTCGAACTTTCTCTCCAGATTCTAACCATAAATCTCTTGTATAACACATAAACACAACAATCAAGCATTTTAATTCTCAAGTCAACTACCTATAATCCACCTCAAAACCGCTAGCTTACAGATTAAAATAAGAATTGAAATTTCTCAAGTCCTCTAACTTATTTCTTGTTTAGGGTTGTAAACCCATGCAAACTAAGTTTCATTCTTGAAGAAATTAGAAAGATTGAAGAAGGTAAAGGGTTACCTCTTGAACCCTAGATAATACCAGAAATTTTTTCACCACAAAACCTCCAAGAAATTCCACAAGATGATGCCTTTCTCGAATCTAGAACTAATCTCCAAGTAGTACGTAATGCCTTTCACTTGTACACCAATCCTCAACTGTAATTCTTTTAACACTGTATTTACTCACTCTTATGAGTCTGGTATAACTTTTTGAAATCTCCACTTAATCGTACCTACGCGCAATGCGCGAACTTTCTACTCGCACGCAATAAGGTGAAATTTTTGAACTCACTCACCTCTAATCCCTCAATTAACTTTTCTTAGTCTACTATTGATCATTCTTAATTTTTCAAGATAATTGTACTCTCGAATCGAATATTACATCGAAAAATGTGTATTTGCTATTTCTTGCTAAACAAACCACAGAAAATTTAAATTTACTAACAGGACGTTTTAAAAATATAATTGAGACATTGTTCCATGTAAATGGATTTAAAATGGTTGAAATAAACTATTCGGAGAAAACGGGTAAATAATTATTTAAATAAACCAGAAAAATAAGATAAGAATAAAAAAATTTTCAGGTTCTCACATAAACAATGTTGGATTAATGAAACATCTGGTGCAAAAAAAAAAAATATATATATATATATACTAGGGATTCAGTGGATAGATACAAAAATTAGAGCTTTGAAGTTGAAAAGAACCACAGTCATGGATCTGAAGACAAGAAAGCTTGGGGGATCTCTAAAAGTTCCTTTTGTCCAATAGTTGGCTAAGGAAAATCCCTCTTCTGTTCCAACTGGTTACATATGCCCTGACAAAGACCAATATCCAACCATCTCTAACGGTGGTTCTTTCCACCAAATACCAGTTGTGGATATGCAATGCTTGTTTAGTTCTGCTATGGAGATAATTGATTTGGAGCTTCAGAAGCTGCATTCTGCTTGCAAGGAGTGGGGTGGTTTTTTCCAGGTATATATACAAGGATTGAATGTATGACAAACATATATTTGTGTGACAAGCTATTGTATATTTGAAATAGTTTGATTATACAACTTTTTTACAAAACTAAATTATCAAGTGTTGTTATTTCGATGTTTGAACCGTCGATTTTGTGTAAGGTTTGAACCCTAACCAACATCCTAGAAATGAACTTTAAATTCCCCTTGGTGGCCACTAGACCAAAACTTTATGGTTACCTTTTTTAAGGTTTGAGACCATCCTACTTTTTTTTGTATCAAAAAAAAAAAAAAGAAATAATCTTCAAATGAAATCAAAGTCCTATGAAAAATGAATCCGTTGATGACTTAATCATCTTTTACCTGAATTTTACGAGGGCAAATCAGTTGAAAGTATACATATGCTTATGTGTTGTTCCATCCAGACACTATTACCTATGAGAATAACTGTCAGCAGCTGATTAATCATGGAGTTAGCTCTTCATTGCTGGAGAAATTGAAATCAGAAGTTCAAGATTTTTTCAATCTGCCGATGGTTGAAAAGAACAAATATGGTCAAGAACCAGGAGATGTAGAAGGATATGGGCAAGCCTTTGTCAAATCAAAGGAGCAAAAGCTTGACTGGGCTGACATGTTATACATGATCACTCAACCAGAAGATTTAAGAAAACCTCATTTGTTCCCTAAGCTGCCTCTTCCTCTAAGGTATATTTGATCAACCATGCACAACACACACAAAACGGGGAATTTAAATCAAGTGTTCTATCTTTAGTCTTGTAATTCTTTAACCATGCAGTTTTAGGATAAAAACTATTTTTAACATGAACTAACGTACATAGTATGCTAAAATTTTAGCCAAACTGTATTACTAGTTACTGAACTTTCTTGAATGAAAAAAAAAAAATGGATGGCCGAAAAGAGACATTCATGAAAATTTAATGGCCACTGATGCACTTTGCCAGATGGTTTTGATTGAAGCAATTCAATGATACCATTTAATTTAATGTTTTCACGTCTATCTAAATTTGAACGCTAATGCATCAGATAGGTGAGATTTTTTAGTAGGCAAAGTTGATTTTCTGTAAAATTATCTACTGAGAAAGATAGAATAAAAGAATATGTTAATGTGATAATTTTTAAAGTTAACATTTCAAATTTTTGTTTGGGGAAGTATAAAGATCCAGAAATGGCTTAATACATGATGACGAAAGGTCAAGCAAAAAAATAAGCTGAAATGCCAATGAGAAATTAATTACCCTGCCACCCTCCATCCACTATCTTCCAAACCAAATAAAAAGAGAAAAATATATTTAGAACAACAATATGAATAATTCAAAACATTAACCTATTGTACATATGCTAGTAAGTCCACTAAGGGTCTGTTTGATAATATAAAAAAGTGTTGAATCTGAATTTTTTCAGACATTCAGATATTTTGAGTGTTTGATAAATGAAAATCTATTTCCTGAACTTGTTAAGCAGTGCTGAACCTGTGTGTATTTTTTTCAGCACAAGAATCCTAACTGAATGCTTAATTCTGATAAGAATCAATAGAATTACTTTAACTGCCTTATCTCATCTACCAAATTTACCCTTGTTTGTTAATTATATTCAAAATTCTTATCTAATTAAACAACATAATATTATCTATCTACCGATTTTTAGTTTTTCTTTTCTCCCTTTTTAATGACTTTCACTTCTTCTCCATACTCCTCATATAATATATTTCATCTTTTATATTAATTTGATTTAAAAATAATATTATCATTTTCATACCTAACAATTTTAAACTAATTAAATTATAGATTCTATTTCTTTTTTGAATGAAAGGATATAATGGCAAAATTGTCAAATTAAACTTATTAAGCATCCAACTATAAATATTTATCAAATAGTAGAAATAGGTTTAGTATTAAAATTCAGACATTCATATATTTTTTCAATGTTTAAAATTCAGCAAATTAATTGTTTCAGTATTCAAATTTCAGAATTCAAACTTCAAAATTCAGTTTCAGATTCAGTTTTATGAAACGGAACCTAAGGCTTGAGAAGCTTTCTTTTTACTTTTTGTGAGATTGAGAAAAATAATGACCTGCAAAGAATTTCCGTTTGTGTTTTGATCAAAGATGATTTTTTTTAATAAAATATCATATTTTCATTAAAATTTACACTAATGGTAGAAATTATATTATCAAATATATACAAATATAAAATAATAGATCTAAAGAAAGGATACTACAGATATGAAGAACAATAAAAAAATACAACATTATAAAGAAAGGTCGTTGGATACAATCCTCCAAACGACGTCCAAACAGACTCAAATATAGATATCAGATTCAAATATACACAATAGATAGGCAGACAAACAGACAAGAGAACGAGTGTGATAAAGTACACCCTCGTCTCAAACGGAATAAACAGATAATACAGTTAATTAAATCACAGAGTGCATGTACAGAAACCAAGTTAAGCAACAAATGAGGGGAGTGGTACACTCACCAGTTCAAGTACGGATACTTCAAAAGTTTTCACTTCAAACTGGCTTTAATCGCCAAGAAACCCTAAAATCATCAAAGTCAAACAATTGAAAGTTTCACATCCAAAATCGAGTGAACGGAATGTACAAGTGAGGCTCGATTACATGTCGTACGTCTTTCCAGGTTAAGTACTAGTACAGAAGAATAAAATATGACTATTGAGCAAAAGGTAACAGTTGGTCCTAGGGTTACAAACAACCCTCAAATCCCTTCATTTTTACTAAGATCAACTCAAACTTAAAGGAACCAAACGGCCTAGAAAATTGGACAGCATTCCCCCTAAATTTGCTTACTTTTCCAGCCATCATAGCTTCATTGTCTTTCCTCAAGTCAGTCCAATTCAACACATAAGAAATCTCAATACAATAGCCCTTCAACTAGGCTCAAGTTCATCCAAACACAAAGCAAGCCCTGGAATGCAACTAGAAATCAAGTTTTTAAAGACAAAAGTTAAATAGCAGGTTTGGTGTCTCTTAACGGAACAGACACGACTGAAGCTACGCTTATCGGATTGGGGTGCAATTTATACCGTTTCGAAACTAAGACAAGGAGCTAAAACTTTGATGAAGAACACTCAGTCCAGTTTGTAGTGTATCTAAGTCAAAATTGCCATTCACAGAACTAGAATCTCACATTCGGGCTGGCTAACCGCCTTATGCGTAAATGACAATAACTCAGGCTACCGAAATCAAAACGAGGTGATTCCAGGGGCGTTGGAAAGCTAAGACATATACCTACATTCCTTATGAAGACCTTCAAGGCCAAATCATGCATTTTCATAGTCACAAATTGAAAACTCCACGAAAATAGAAATCTGGGCGCGAAATAGGGTTCAAGGACAGTCAAGGGTATTTCGGTCAGTTCACAAGCTACAGTGCTAGGATCGAGCTGAAATTTTGCAGGAAACTAATTTGTACCATTGGCTACAATTTTCATGTTTTGGCCAAAATCTAATTCGTTAAGGATCAGGGTGAAAAGTCACGGTCAGATTTGGTGAAATGACAACCCTGTTCGCTGAACTCCTACCTAGGCCAGTCTGGGTATTTCCAATTTTTCACAAGCTACCAAGCTCAGATTGGGATGAAAATTTACAGGAAACTATAAAACATTATTCTCTATAACTTTTATGTTTTAACCTAAGGCTAATTCGGTCTCTAGCATGCTCAAAAAAATCCAGACAGAACAGGCCTGTTTGGAACCCTAATCTGGAATTTTAGCTTCAAACCCACAATTTTTCACAACCAATCATTTCCAACACATACCCACTCCATCTTACACCATAACAAACCATTGATCCATGACTAAACAATAATTTATATATTAAAATAGAAAATCCTCAATAAATAGGAAAATTTGCATATCTCAACCATAAGTCATGAAATAATCCACAAACTAACATATTCAACCTTTATAAACCTCCAATTCCACATTATTAAGGACAAAAGAGAATTTCCTTGACAACTTACCTTTGTAACTCCAAGAAACAAGACAACTAGAGCTTGTTCTTCACAAATGGCTCCACACAATACTTTAAACTAGTTTAGCAACTCACTTTTGTGGAGAATTTTGAAATTTAAACGGTTGGTTTGTGAGATTCAAGCAAGAAATTGAGGAAACTAGTTGAGAGCTTTCTTTTCTTTTCTTCTAGTGAGGGAGTCGGCCAAGAGGAGTAGAAACAATATGATGTTTGGGTCAAAATTGAGTATTAGTAAAGGTACGAAATAATGGTCAAAGTCCAAGCTCGAATGAAAAAGTGACACGTGGCACCTATTAAATTTAGCACTTATCATTTCGTCTCTCCAATACTAATCCATATAGGTAACTTTTAATTACCTCTTATCACCTAGTAAATTAATCCAAGTATACAAAACTTAACCTAATTGGCCGAATTTTACCGAACTTTCCGCACTAGCGGGTCCCACGTCCAATATTCACTCCTGTTATTCTTGGTTTTGATGATCACAAAGTAATTTGAAATGTTTATATAAGAAATACATACCAAGAAAGTGAACACTTTGATCAGGCCTGATGGAACAAAGAAAGCATATGTTCAATTGACTCCAGACTACGATGCTTTGGATGTGGCAAACAAGATTGGAATAATATAAACGAATTTAGTCATTGTTTTGTTCCGATCAAAGATACTGTCTTTTAAGTGTGACAATTTTGTTATTCTTGGTTTTGATGATCACACAGCACTTTGAAATGTTTATCTAACTTTCTTCAAATATAAGTGTTTTTGCCTATCAAAGAATCAGGTACGAATATGTCATGAAATGCAAATCAATCAAAAGAAGAAGCAAAAACAGGACACTCATGTCGGACGGCCGAAAGGAATCTGTCGGATGTCCGAAAGAATAAAGAACATCAAGAAGGAAGCTTTGCCGGACGCTCATAAGGAAGCATCGGACGTCCGGAAGGATCAGACACACACCTCGGACGCATATCAACTGCATTGGACGTCCGAAAAATTCCAAGATGACTTGCCAACTCTCTGCCAACGATCGGACGCTGTGCTGTCGGACGATAAAAACTCATCGGACGTCCGAACTTCAACTTGGCTGTTTTCGGACGATTGGTTCGGACGATGATTTGGTCATCGGACGTCCGAAAGCCCCAACGGCTAGCTGACTCTTCATCTGCCTTCTATCCGTTGGAAGCATTAATGAAGCCCATTTTTGGTCCCCTTTAAAAACAAACTGTTCTGAACCAAGGAAGGACTTTTGCACACTTTGTTTACAAGATCTCAAGAGATATTTTAGCTAGAAAATAGTCTCCAAAGCTAGATTTGTTCTCTAAGTGGTGTGAATTTCTTGTGAGCTTTTCTCTTGTGGTTGAAAGGTTCATTAGTGTAGCTTTGTTGAGGGTTATCTGAGTGATTGTAAAACTTCTTAGCTTGACTAAGTGAGGCTTAGGGCAAGGAGGAAGTGCTCCCTCCATTGTACATCTAGTTGATCATCTTTCATCAAAGAGAAGTTGCTCAACCTTGTCATTGGTCTTCAAGTTTGAGGAAAGCTTGGTAGACAATCGGTTTGATATTCTATCTTACTTTTTGTTTAATAAAATTCTCATTGCATATCTATACTTGTTTTTCTGATCAATATTGCTCTCGTCTTCTAATCTACTTGGTTGATCATTACTAGAAAAGAAGGTAAATTTTTATTA